GCATGCGGTCTGACCCAAAGCCCAGCCTCACCTCCCTTTGCTGAACTTTCTCCAAGTGAAATGCAACCATTAACAACTTGTTCCTTTGGAATCTGAAGGTCGTCCAGTTTTCCAAAGCTCCCGTTCAAGGGCAAATGCCCCAAGGACAGACGATGTTGTAAGCTTTCACTGAAGGCCCCCTGAGGCAGAGAGCACCTGCTGAATCAGTACGTTGATGAAGAACAGAGCATAGAGGCCCCTGACCCGGCTTAGACAAGCTGCCAGAAGACAACAATGAGAACAGTAAGCATGACAGTGACAGACAGCTGACATTTCTATAGCCCTGGATTCCTTCCAGACTTGACACATGATTCCCTCCCATGCTCACAACATCCTATGGTGGGAGGACTAGTCTTCCCCCTCCCCCGCCTCTGCTTTCAAGCCGTGGGAACGGAAGCCCCAAGAGATCCCATTCCTCACTCACAGCCAGACACAGAGGAAACTCAAGTTTGGGTTTAGTAGCCTCCCGGCCTCTCAAGGGACAAAACTATGCTTTGAACCCAGGCTCCTGGTCAGACTCATGCTACCAAGTGCATGGCAGGAGGACACCTGAGAGCAAAGCAAATATACCAAGCCAGGAGAGCTCCCCATCTTCATCTTGGCCAAAGGCCACTGTGGAGTGCAGGGCGTCTCAGTGAAACCACCCTGGACAGAGGCCGTGGTCTCCATGCTGGTTGTTAATGGAGAAGTTTCTTCTGTCTTTGAACTTGAACCTTACCATCTTCATGGCACCTGCAGTCCCAGGTGCATCGTCAACTCTATCTCTCAGGTTACCAAGGTGGCATAGCTTGTTTTTATCCCACTTAAAGGGGATGGATGGAAATTTGCAGAGTTCAAAGCTCACCAAGGGGTAGCCCTGTCACTCTGAGGGCTGCATCAGCTCTCCTTGGGGAACCGGATGTCCTGCCTCCATGGGGAGGTAGGATTTCCCGCAAGCCCTTCCTCCACCCCAGGCTGGAGTGCAGAAGCTCGCAGCAGACTTCCAAGGGCCCTTCCTGCTGCTTCTACCTGCAGATGGGCCCCTTCTTGGTCACAAATATTTGAACACCACAGCAAACTATTCCTGAGAGTTCTCAGATCCGGGGTTTTGTTCTGAAGCCCTTGTTCATGGTCTCTGTCCAAAAGCTAACAGACATCGACATCACTGCATTTGTCCCAGTGCCTGGGGCTTCAAGTATACAAATATCATAGAGAAATTTGGAAGGCTTCATCCAGGTTTAGCTGGGTTCAGAGACTTACCAGATTTTGAAAGTACTTTGCATAACAACAGATTTCTGTTTGGGAGTAAATCTTCCCATCACCCAAAGACAGACCTTTCACTTTAATTTGATCCTGGGGAGAACCCACAACCTTCTTCTGGACCTTTCAGCAAGCCACTCAGAAGGGCGTGCATGTGTGTGTACTGTGTGTGTGTGTGTGTGTATCCTATCAGCACACATCGCAATCGTGGTTCTTGTAAAGATTTCATAGAATTAGGGTGTCTGAGTACTTTAGATCCAGTGGAAATTTGTTGTAAATTCAAACCATCCAGATTCACTGTATCTTAACGTGCTCATCTTGCCATAGCTCCAAAAGGAGGATAACATACAAAATTATATGTAAAGGACTACGGAGGGTTTCATGATCTCAGGTGTTCGCGACCGTCAGGAACTACCATCATTACCGACAGCGCTTCTATCTACAAGGTATATTGCAAGATCAGGATTGATGATGATCCCAATATTATACAGACTTCCTCCTACAAATGTCACATGCAGTGTTCTTGACAGCCAGGCAAGAACAGTGGAAGAACAGAAGAGCCATTTTGAATCCTGGGGACCTGAGGTGGGTTTATTAAATAAGACCACCGTTCCGCCATCTTGCCCCCTACTTGGGCTAGATTCTTTGGACCATGGTACCAAGAGTTCTGGTTTTATTTTTTTTTTAATTTTCATTTATTTATTATCCAGAGTTCTTGACTCCAGAGACTTGTCAGACCATGATGGTAGTGTCCGTTGGTGACTTACGGCCATATGGTACATAAATTGGTGAGCCACGGTAATCAGCATAGTGCACAGTCACATGGCTGCCCGTGGCGGCATGCCAGAAGATGAAGTCTATTCCTGAGAAGATATTTCTAGAAACCTTCAAAACGTTTCTTAGGCTTCCTGAGAACTGGTGTCTCCATTCTTCTCAGGTTCTTTGGATGACCTTCAATTAGTTCTTATGTCATTAGCTATCAATTTGGGCCATCTTTTCTCAAGAATTATTCTAGCAGGGTACCATGAATCCTCTCTCACCGATCCTGGGTTAGTAATTTCGTGTCTACAGGGGTGAACAACCTCTTGACTTGAGTGGTTGAATCTTGGAATCCACTTGAAACTCACTGCCCCTCACTAGCACCCAGATTCCTCCCTTCTGTCCATGCCCTAAGTCTGACATGATGAAGAATAGGGCCACTTAACATTCTTTGTTAAACTCCTAAATCCATGTTAGAAGTAGGAGGCTCGGCTCTCCTTCCCCACAAGCACATGACCTTCCCTGTCATCTGTGGGCAAAGCGACCAAGCCCTAAGGGTGGTACCAGGTAGCAGGAAGGCAGGCAGGGGAATGACGCCAGTGAATCCTTCTCTCACTTGACCATCAGGTCCAGGCCCCTCCCGCTGAGTGGTGGGGTTCTTGCTGCGTTTGGTTCCGCAGAAGGGACAACAGCAAGTGTACTTTCCTTGGGTTTCGTTTCTTCTTCACTCCAAAGTCCGTAGATTTGTAAATTGGCTTTTGGCAAGTGGAAGAGTTGATCAAATTCAGCCTTGTGTTAGATGCAACAATGGAAGCAAAAGATTCAGAAACGCTATCCGAAAATTTAGAATACCTTCCAAAAAAGGCAAGGTTGAAGGAATAAGATAATGATTCAACAACACAAACAGTTCATGCCTGCTTGCCCTGTGCCAGGAAGCATTTCTGGCCAGGAGCCCACAGCTACTCAGGGGGGAACTGATACACAGTGGCCCACAAAAGTGGCGTCCCAGTTGGGCAGAGCCTCGAAAGAAGGGAGCGCATGGAAATCGTATTTCAGGGAGATGGTCACACAGCAAGCGTGTGGAGACCTTGAGGAATGAAACCTCTTTGCAGAGACCACCGATGGTTCGGTTCAGTGTGGATGGAGAGAGGAGGCTCCAGAGAAGCCTGGAGAGGTGGCTAGGACTGGACTTGAAGGTCCCAGTGATTTCTCAGACGGTCAGTGGCCATCCCAACCTTAAGGCAAGGAAATCACAGTGAAGCTCCTACGTTTGGAGCCCGCTCTGGTATTTCTGGGGAGGCTGAGCTGTAGGTGGGACACCTGGTAAGTTCGAAACCCTCCTGTAGGCCACCATGTTCATAGGCTGGGCAAGAGCTGGGACACACTGGACCAGCCTCTGAGCAGGGATGGGAAAGAGGAAGATTCAATGGATAGGTGAGGTTTGTCCTTGCAGACCAGTTGGCTAAGGAGGGAAGAAAGAGAGTGCTCACTCCACAAACCCACTAAGAAGGAAAGAAGATTGGAGCCCCGTGCACCCTATGAAGTGAAAATGACCTTCAGCCCCAAATGTTTGGTTGGTCTCCAGTGTCGCAGGAACAAGACTGTTTTGCTAACTACTTAGCAGGGCTTCTGCTATGATTGTTCTAGCAAAAGTGCTGAATACTATGTTTGGATGTTTCCTGGTATAAATGGTTGGGCCCATTTATTTACTAGTTTGTTTTTCTGAGCAAATGAAACCCAGCCTTGAGCCCTGACCCCTCTGGGTGCTGGGTGGGATGGCACAGACAGGCTTCCAGGAATGGCCTTTCTATGGCTTCCGAGCATCGGGGGGGATGCAATTGTTCTCCGGGAACTTCCCAAGCCAGATGCTTTCCTGGTGGCTCAAGATGGCAGAAACATGCGCACGTCTGTGGGGCAGCAGAACAGAAGCCTCGAGCATGGGGCACTGTGAGGATTGCCCCAAGAATCCCCCTTCTGTCCTGATCGAGAGCCTGTTGAGAAACAGTTGAGGTCAAGGGTTACTATTCAAAACCTAAACTTCTTTAAAACTGTACTGGCCTTGGCTGTTTGGAGAGTTTGGTTCCCGCCAGACACATTCTACTGTCTCCTCTTGAAATGCTGAGGTTCTGGAAATTCCAAGAGCTTAGACTTCTAGCTCCGCCCCCGAGACACACGGTTCTCTTAGCCCACTGCAAACACACACTCACTCCCTCTCCTGCGTGTCATGCTCCGCTTGCTTCTCTGTAAAGAGTTGATGGGGGGATGAGAAAGTGAACTGGCTTAGTGCTGAGACCTGAGTCAGGATCCCAGGGGGAGGGATTTATGGCTTTTTTTGTGTGTGGAACCGGGATCAGCAAAGCACGGTCCAGGGGCCAAATCCCTCTCCTATTTTCGTACATTCTGGCAGCTGAGGATGGTTTCTACAATTTAAATGGTTGAGGGGAGGGTGGACAAGGAAGACTAATTATTTCATCTCTCAGGGAAAGCGTACAAAATTCAAATTTCAGCATCTAAAAAGAAGTTTTGAATTTCATCACTACAACATTGGAAATTTATTTCTTCTCTTGTCATAGAGGTACCTAACATAATACCTTTGATTTTGTGTCTTGGCATGCAAAGCCTAAAATACTGGCTATCTAACGTTTCACAGAAAAAGAAACCAGGTGTCGGGAACATTGTCTTCTGTCACCAGGAAAGCCTGCATTAAAACTGTCCCCAAGATGGGAAGATCTTACATTTTCCCAGCCAAGTTATCATTTGTCGGTAACTTATTAATTCTCCAAGTAACTTAATGTTTGTCCAAATATACTGGCTATTTTTCTGCCCTTTGCTAATAATGATGTTTGCCAAGGAAGCGCAATCATACTATTGATACTATTGGTAGTAACGATGATGTCCTCTGAGCCATGGGGCTGCGTGGGGGCCAAGCAGCAGAGCTGACCTGCCACTGTTTGTGTCCGCAGGTCACAGGCCTTTTCAGTGCCGATACTGTCCCTACAGTGCCTCTCAGAAGGGGAACCTGAAGACCCACGTCCTCTGCGTCCATCGTATGCCTTTTGACAACAGTCAGTACCCCGATCGCCGGTTCAAACGCTCCAGAGTCGACTCGGAGGCTTCTGGGAATTTCGAAGACCCCACAGCTGTCAAGGCGGGGAGCTCAGCAGAGCTAACAGAGGAGGGCTGCAAAGCCCAGGAGGAGCGTAACTGAGCAAACTGACCTGTATATTGCAATATTATTTTACACAGTTTTAAGATTATGCATCTGGTAAAAGAGTTTGCTAACTGCATTCCAAGGGGAAAAAAGAAAAATCATGTACAACCCCCCAACTAGTGTATAGAACATTTAAAAAATTTAAAAAGATATCTATATATATATATTAAAAAAAAAAAAACACAAAAACACACTCAAAAAAAAAAAAAAAACCCACAAAAACAAGTCCCCAGCCCTTGAAAATGGCTGCTAAACTGTTACCCGGCAACAAGTACTTCTAAACAATGCAGGTGGAAGACGAGTGATTTCTGAAAGGCTTGGTGTCCTCCAAGCCGGAGAAAGCTGGGGGGCCCTTCCAAACTCTGAAGTCGTCTTTGTCCCCCAGTCATGCTCTTAACTGAAAAATGATACCATCTAAATGATTTAGTGTTGCCTTGAAGATGGAGGGGCTGTGTTTTCATTGTTGAAAACACCTCTATAATCTGCCACCAGCTGTGGCCGTCTCCCCCCCACCCCAACCCCTAATGAGAAGTGCTGAGAGGCAGCCGCTGGTGCCAGTCAGGCTGGAGCGGTCACTGCAGAGAAAATCAATTCACGTGGTGTCCCAACTGCACTCGTGGAGAAATCCTAGCCCGCCGCGCCCACGGCTGCTGCCCCGGGCTGCAGAGGATTGCCATTTCACACGTGCATTAAAAAACAAAAACAAAAACAAAAACAAAAACAAAAACACACACACACACACACACACACACACAGCCAAATGAATCCACGGTCAGGAATTATCTGCAGACAGATGCCCATTGCAGGTTTGATGAGTAATTCCTTTTTTTTTTTTTTTAGATCAAATTGCAGTATTGAGAGAAATGTTTTTTTTTCCCTCCGTTGTCTTTTTTTTTTTTTTTTTTTCCGGATAAAAAAGAAGTTGTTACTGAAAAAAAAAAAAAGAGATTAGATTAGGGGTACATGATTTAAAATGTTTTTGAAGAAAACTAGCCAACTCTACCCACAGAAGGTGCTGGTGAGAAATGGAAATTCATGTCGTAATAGAAAGATTTTTTTTTTATTACGGTTTTTTAAAATTTTACTTGAATGAAGGCTGCTCTGGTCCTTATTATCAGCTTTGTTTAAATGTGTTCGTTTTTGTAAGTATCGCAGACATGAAGCAAGATTTTCTTCTCTGACAAGCTCTTAGGAAATAGCTTGTATTAAAAACACAAATCTAAACATCCTGCTCTCTATCGCTAATGAAGAAAACTGTTCGAGTTCAAATGTCTGTTTTTGTAAAACAAATGTGTTCTATATTTTTGTAGATTTTAGATTTTTTTACTGATTGGATACTCCAAATTTATTGAGTTCTGCACCACCCAGAGGGAGATTTTGAGGGCCAATAATGAAATACTTAACTCATTTAAAAAAACAAAAACAAAACAAAATAAAACAAAAAAAAAAAAACGAAGAAGAAGAGTCAAGGGTTTATTCTTGAATCTGCTAGAATGGTGTCTAAGTTCAGCCTCTTAACATACTTCCTTTGAGTGACATGAAATTGGTGCTGTTGCTTGTGACGGTAGAGATGTATTGAAGTATTAACTTCTAAAACGAAATCATTCAGACTTAAAAAAAAAACAACAAAAACAAATAAACAAACAAAAAAAAACAGTTGATATTTCCTTGCAGGCTGGGAGCACAGAATAAAACCCCAGGGCCTTAAAACTTCAGCTCTGCCTACAGCAGTTTACAAAAATTCTAAACTGCAATCAATGTAAATAAAATGCTTAGCGCTATCCTGAGACCAGAAGGGATCTCAGGCTAATAAGGGATCGGGTTTGCATATGCGGTCCAGAGGGCGTCACCCACCCCAAGGTTTCAGTGCAAATGAGGTCGTTGTGCAGCGTGGACCCATCTGGCATAGAGCAAGCCGCTTTCTCGTTTTTCTAGACTAGTTCTCACTGCCTTACTTAAATCGAGTTTATCAACTTAATGCAACTGTTTCTATGATCCTAGAGGAAGGACTGAAATGTTACTGAAAACTTTCTGACTGTAGTGAGCTTTAGGATTTTAACTGCACTACTGTGTTTGGTGACTGTGTCAGTCGCTTGCTTTCTGTGTGTTTGCCCCGCCTTTGGTATCTTAGCAAAGAAAAATATTAAAAAAACAAAAAAACAAAAAAAAAAGGAGAAAAAAAAAGGAAAAAGAAAAAAAAAACAAGAGGAAAAAAAAAGTGGGAAAAAAAAATGAGAGCCACATTCCATTTCTAGCACTTTGGAAGCTCTTTTGGTATTCTTTTTGTGTCTTCTGAGCATCTTCAGATGCGACAGGCAATAATTCTGTTTGTGACACTGGGAACATCCCTTCTTCTTTGTGGCGTGTGTGTTGATTCCATTTTGTCCAGTGCTACCGTCCTTATTTCCCCCTCTGACACAAGCCTTCTTTCCAGAACATTTGTAACTTGTAATACAAACAAGTGACAGCCGCAGTGATACGCAGTGTCAGTTTCTGAATGTCTCCAGGCCCTCATATCTAAACATGTCAAGTTTTTTCCCCTGTAACTTCTGTAGTCTGTGATGCTGGTCATAATACTGTCTACATTCCTACACAAAGAAAAAAAAAATCTATCTTGGAGTAAATCTGAGATCAATAGAGTAGAGGATTTTGTTGCTATGCTTGTAACAAGTAGAAAACTTTGTATTTAAAGTTTATTCTTGGTCATTATTTATTATTATAATACATCAGTTGACAGAACTTTATTCTGGTATAGAAAGTATTAAAAGTTGTTTTTTCAGCAATGACTGTTTTCTTTCTGCTGTTAGAATAAAATGTCTTTGAAGCAGTCCAGTTTTATCCAGTGTTTTACGCAATAAAACCTCTACCTCTGGAAAAAAGAAATCTTTTCCTATTCACTTATGTTTCTTAGGAAGAGTGAAACATATTTTTCCATCTTCGCCAGACTTCGGGAAGGCTTGGTCAAACCCCACTTATTAAAAAAAAAAGCTCTGCCTTATTCTGGGGGGAAACGGTCCCTACAGCCTTGTGCTTTTTTAAGCCCCGTGAATATCACTGTGCAGTTTAAACAACGTGAGTGCGTATGTGAGTGTGTGCACACACCCATGTGTATGTGTGAGTTATGTTTCTTCAAAGGCTGCAGACATCGGTTTCAGGAAAGTAAGACCGTATGATCCTCCCATTACAGCAATTATCTAAGACACCGAAAGCTTTGGGATCTACTACTCCCCTTTACTTGTAGAAAGTTGCTTTAAAAAACCATTAAATACAAGAAGTCTTTTACAGAGGATAATCTGAATTCTTCCTCTGGAAGAAAAGGAAAAGAACGGAGAACAATAAAGTCTCGGGTATCAGGGCTGCCGATAAAGCAGCCCTCTGACATTGACCTGAGAGGGTTTGAAGTGTGTTCCCCACACTTGATGTGCACAGTTGCTTTTTGATTTGTTTTTTGTTACTGCTGATTTGGTTTCAAAACCAGGCTTGCACAGTGCAGCCCGCAACTGTGTGGAGGACCCAAGGAGATGCTGCAAGCAAAAGCTTCCACCCACATTGTATAGGAATTTGTAAATCCCCATATTTCTTTCAGGATGCCAGACTACTGCTACATCCAGAGGGATGGGAGCAGATGGCTGGAAAGGATTTTGAGCAGCCTGGACTGCTGGTTGTTACAACAGCAAAGGTGAGTCTCGAAGTTTCAGTGGGGGGTTGGGCAGGGACCCCGTCAGGGAGGGAAGGTTATAACGCCACGTACATACGTGTTGGATCCCAAACCAAAATGTCTCCAGGGACCAGACAAGAACCCGCAGTGGTGAGAAGAGGAGAATAGGAACAGAGGTTCTGGGGTTGGGTGCCCTCAGCCACCGCTTTGTCATGTCCGTGAGAAATGTGGCATCAGGTTTTTGGAGTTTTCCAGAGACACGGAACACCTGTTTTTACAGGATGGCTCAAAATGTGTTTTCAAAACCTGCATAATAAATAGACGAACAAAATGTGGTCTATCCATAGAAGGGAATATTATTCTGCCATCAAAAGGAATGGGGCACCATGGACGAACTTTGAAAATATGGACCAACTTTGAAATCATTCTGTTGTTTGAAAGAGGCCAGTTATGCAAAAGCACATATTATATCAGTTTCAGGAAATGTCTAGAATGTCCAGAATAGGCGTGAGGACAGGTTGCAGGGTTGGGGTAGGAGAAGATGGGGAGTGACCGTGCACAGGTTCAAGGTTTCTTTTTGGAGTGATAAAAATGTTCTACAATTAGCTAGTAATGGTGGTTACCCACGTCTGAATGTACTAAAAACCACTGAATTATATACTTTAAAAAGGTGAATTTTATGGTATGTGAATTATACCTCAATAAGGCTGTTATAAAATAAAAATAAAACTGGAAGAAGGCCTTTCTGCGAAACATCAATATATATTTCCATCAAAATGTTTTGAGCTCTCTGCAATCATAGATGATCATCAGATTACCACACTGTAGACAATTACAAAATAGCGGGTGTGCAGACTTACATTTGAACCCTAGCTCTACTATTTACTGGCTGCTTGATCTCTAATGTTGTGACCGTTCTGAGTTCACTGGTCTTATCTGCAAAATGATTAAATTAAATGCAATAAAGTAGGGAAGATCATATGTAGGTTTTGTAAGTTTTAGTACAGTTTGTAAATTGCACTATTGTGGCATAATAAGTTATGGATAAATTTGGCATCAATCGCACACCCACGAAACACTGTACGTTAAACTCCCATGTTTGGGGAAAGGCTCCCTGGTGGTCAGGATTCCTCCACACCCACCCCCTTCAGACAAGACAGTCCTGGAGAAATGTCTTAAGCTCTCTGTTTTCCAGAATCCTCATTAAAAAAAAAAAAAAAATCACAATATGAGCAACTTTCTTGCCATTTTCCAAGTACTGAAGAGCAGCTAGGAGAGCATAGTGTGGGATATAGCAAGAGAATTGGTCTTGGGGTTTGATGCTATTACACTCACTAGTTCAGTAAAATTTACAGAAGACCTCCTGTGTGCCAGGCATCAGGCACAGGCCGGAGAGACAGTGATAGGTCAGGGATCATGGCCACACATCACTGAGAAAATAGACTCCAGCCTGTTAATCACACAAGCAAATGTAGAGTGTCTGGAAGAGGAGATTCAAAGATGACATGGATTTTTCCATGTCAGGGAGGACTTCTTTAAGCAGTGACAATGACCTGAGACAGGAAGGCATGCGTGCCGGGTCCCGGAAGAGCATGTATGAATGCCCAGCCCCGCATGGACGGGGCTCTGAACTCCGGTGTCTACCTCTTGGTAGCTGTGGGATCTTGGCATTCATTCCAGTCCCCCAAATCTGCTTCTTTATCTGTAAAGTGGAAAATGGCTAACAACAGGCTCTTTGCGAGGTTAAATGAGATAGTATGTGTACTTAGAGAGCTCTGCAGAGAGCCAGCCAGGGACCTCCAGGTTCTACAGACTGTCATTAAAAGCCACAACAGCAGGAGCCCACTTAACATTGAAAGACAGTGCATTCTGGAGCCTGAATGAGTTGATGTAGAGGCACGCAAATGACTTGCAACAGATTTACAGGATCCCAGAGAACTGGCAAGTTATCTCTCATGCCTGCCCAGAGGCCTGCGCTCCCTGGGAAGGAGTGGCT